TTTTGGGCTAGCGTTGAGCGGAGCTCAGATCAGTGCGACCATCCACGTTGCTCGCTAAGCCACGCCCCCCATTAAGGAATTTTAATAGATAATGCTCCAATTGGGAGTATATCATAATTACTGAATAGTAAGTAAATAAATACATTTATTGTTAAGGAAAAGAAAAGGAAATCCAATGTTTTATGAAATTGATGAAATTGGTTACTTATTTATGAATAAAGGAGGTGTAATTAAATTCCTCGTTAAGACCTGAGGTTGAGAGAGTTTGGAATCTGTATTTCCAATTGTGACTCTTTCTGTAGTAATAGTTTATTAAAATCATGGTACCCCCCATGTATAGGTTTTATGGGATTTTGGAAAGTTACAGGGTCAAATATATGCTTGTCCATTTTTGGTTTTACACATTGAAAATTGGCAAAGCGATTTTCTGGGCCTGTCTTGCCTTTGAGAGAGCATGGCAGCCTGGGTAATAACATTTCCACTATTATGGCATACCATTTTTCAAAAGTAGGCAACCCAGAGTATTTCAAATGGTGCATTTTAAGATGTTTGATCTAACCACTTTATCAGAAATGAAGGGCCCACATAGCGGTAATAGTTTTATTTGTGCTTTTTTTCCACACATGAACTCACTTTTCACAGGACATTTCCTATTCCTGGTATGAGTAATTGCAACAAAGCCTCACTTTTTTTTTTGAACATTGTCTCCTGAATACAACAGTTTCCCCATGTACTGGATTTTCTGTTTTTTGGCGGAAGTCACAGGGACAAATATATTGGATGTCCATTTCAAAGTTGGAAATTTGACAAAGTGATTTCCTGGGCCTATTTTGCCTTTGAGAGAACATGGCAGTCTGGGTAATAACATTTCCACTATTATGGAATACCATTTTCAAAAGTAGGCAACCCAGAGTATTTCAAATGGTGCATTTTAAGATGTTTGATCTAACCACTTTATCAGAAATGAAGGGCCCACATAGCGGTAATAGTTTTATTTGTGCTTTTTTCCACACATGAACTCACTTTTCACAGGACATTTCCTATTCCTGGTATGAGTTATTGCAACAAAGCCTCACTATTTTTTTGAACATTGTCTCCTGAATATAACACTACCCCCATGTACTGGATTTTCTGTTTTTTTGGGGAAGTCACAGAGACAAATATATTAGATGTCCATTTCAAAGTTGGAAATTTGACAAAGTGATTTGCTGGGCCTGTGTGGCTATTTAGAGAGCATGGCAGCCTGGGTAATAACATTTCCACCATTATGGCATACCATTTTCAAAAGTAGGAAACCCAGAGTACAACAAATGGCAGACCTTGAGATGTTTGGTTTAGCCATTTTAACAGAAATGATGGGCCCATGTAGCAATTTCTACTTTTATTTTTGTCTTTTTAATCACATAAATTGCATTTTCACTAGAAATGTCATAATCCTGGTATTAGTTAGTGCACTAAAACCTCAGTATTTTGATTTAACACTGTCTTCTGAATATAACGGTACCTACATGTACAATGTTTCCAGGTTTTTAGTATATCACAGGAATAGTACAGTACCCCCACATACACTTTGATCTGAAGGCAGAGAGAGGCAGATAGATCTTTGACTCAGATACTGTAGCATTAACTCTGTGATTAGTTTTTTGCTTTTTTTGTGAAGGCACATTTCAAGTACTACAAATGTAGTATTTTGAGTTGTTTGGTGTAGCCACTTTAGAATGGCTAGCATAAACAGGGACAGGCCAAGGTCAGGGGAATCCAGAAGTCAGAGTAGTCGGTTAAACAAGCCAATGGGTCGGTACAGGCAGCTAACGTAGTCAGGACAAACCGAGGTCAGGGAATCCAGGGAAATCAAGCAAACAAACTGCCAAAGTACCATACAGAGTGATTTAGTAGTTCAGCTCTGAATGGTAGACTTTGAAACAGTCTGTTATGCAGAGGGGGCGGGTAGGGATGGACAGGAGGGGCAATAATAACTGGAGTCCTTTCGGACTCCTCTTTTCCAGCAAACACTGCATTTTCATTAGGGTGACCTTTGACAGGGTGTGGGGGGGATTCGGGAAGCAAAATGGTTGCGGAAAAGTCGTTGGACATCTTCTGATTCCAAAGGAGGGTTAGGATTTGGGGTCTGGGCAAATATAATTTGAGACAAAATTTGGAACATAAACTCTAGAAATGGGCATGGTCTACCTATGGCTTCCTTTTTATAAAGCACACAGGCATTGAAAATTGCAGTCTGGGTTATGTAGATTGCAATTTTCTTGTACCAGGTCCTATTCTTCCGGTTCACCAGATAGGGCTGTATGCACTGATAAGCCAAGTCTACCCCCCTCCATAAACTTGCTGTAGTCTACAATGCACTTCGGCTTCTCCAGCTGCTCAGTTCCACCTCTCACAGATACTGGCACTGAAGTTTCGTTGTGCATTGTAGACAACATGTACACAACTTTCCTATCGGTGAAGCGAAGGGCAAGCAACTCATCATGGCGGAGCGCTGAAAGGGAGCCTCTACTGCGTCTACCTCTTGCCAGGGTTTGGGGGAAACCTCTATGATTCTTACGCACTGTGCCACAGGCTACGGTCTTACACAAGCATAACTCTATGCTTGTGTAATAGTTGTCAACCCATAGCCTGTATCTCTTATTTAACAAGGGAAGGATTAGGTCCCATACTATCTTGCCACATGTATCCACAGAATCAGGGCATCCTGGTGGGTCAAGATGGCTATCCTTCTAGATAATATCTGCCCTACCATAATGCAGAGACAACTAGAGAACACTCCTAATTTGTCCTTAAACCATAAAGATTGTCTGCAATGTATACTATGAACATGTTTATCGTCACGCTCTTCACACACCTCATGTATATCCAGATTTGGATTCACACAATCTGTAAAATCTGTAAAATTTTACACCGTATCGGGACCGTTTAGAAGGAATATACTGCTTAAAAAGTAATTTACCCTTAAACTTCATTAAGGACTCATCTATACAAATATTTTCTTCAGGGACATAATTTGGGGAGAATTTGTCTGACAGCAGTTCAATTAGGGGCCGAATTTTGTACAGCCTGTCAAACAATGGGTCGTTTCTTGGGGGCACAGTGTGTTATCGTTGAAGTGGAGGAAACGCAGCAGCTGCTCATAGCGATCCCTCTTCATAACCCCAGGGAAAAGAGGGGTAGCCAGGAAGGGGTGCTTGTACCAGTAGGACCTGATACTCGGCTTTTTGACAATGCCCATAACTAGAGTTAGGGCCCAAATATTGGTTGGCAAATAAATTGGTTTGCTCAACCAATAACTGAAATACTTTCTCTGACATGAACAAATCAAAATATTTTAGGGGCTCCCAAGCATCCACCATAACAGTGATGCCAGGGGTCGCGGTAAATGGAGGAATATCTGGGGCCGTCAGGTTTGGGGGCACCCAGTCTCCATCTGGCACTGGGCTTGCTGAGCATCCTCTTGTTGGTGGTGGTGGGGCACCATCACTAGAGGAGTCAGTCATGGGCTCAATGATATGGCAATGGCAGTGATAGCGTACGCCTCCTCGGCCAAGTAGCGACGTGCCATTCTAGGGGGGACTACTCCAAGTTAATCAAAAAAATCTAAGGGGGAAATTACAAAATTCCTACCTGCCTAACACCCTACTACCCACCCTCAAAAACCCACAAAAAATAAAATAAATGTACTGATCGCAGTTTAGGCTGCTGCGACCAGTACTAATAAAAATAACCCCCCCAAAAAGTCAGCCTAATCAGAGAGCCCTCTGATCACAGTGATCACTGGTACAATACTGTACAGTAGCAATACCGTACAGTACAGTAATCACAGCAGCGGGGAAAGGGTTAAGGGAGATTTGGGTTGTTGCGGCTGACAAAGGGTAAAAAAAAATTCTAAATATTTTTTGACCCTAAAAAAAAATAAAATAATAATAGTACAAATGTACTAAAATCCCTAAACTGGCTGATCACAGTGTTAAATGCTGTGACCGGCACTGGAAGGGTTAACAAATTACTTTTTTAAACTTTTTCTTTATTTTTAACAATTCTTTCTCCTACAGGGCTCTCCAGCAACGATTTTTCTGCCTCTCTCTCTCAGATCAAAGTGAGGTGAGGAAAGGGGCAGAGACAATGTGTCAGCCAGTGATTTAAAATCATTGGCTGACACATTATAACAGTGACCGCAGTGACTGGCTGTCACTGCGATCACAAACTGCAGATCACTACGGATTGGCTACAGGGGACCTTCCTGGGTTGCCAGGCGGTCCCCCCACCGTGATCTGCAGTTTGGGAGGGATCGGGGAAATGTGGGTGGGCTTAAGCACCGCGCCATGCTATGCCACCTTAAAGGCGTTTAAGCCCATTAACGCCGGGACGGCATAGCAGGCCATAACGGCGTTAACGGGTTAAACAAATGTATTAAATGTTATGTTTTAATTAATTGACAACTGTACGCAAGCACCTTCCTATTCATTTACTTGATAATTGCCCACGTTCATACTACTATTGGTTGGCTTGAGCTCACTGTGCTGTTTGGGAGGGGGTTACGGTGGAGGGCCCGGTGAGGAACTTGGTGTCTACTACCATAATCCTATTGTATGTAAATTAAGCTGTCGGGGTAAAACTAGATGTGCTGTCTCCAATGAAGGCTGTTGTTCTCCTATTCACTAATTGTTGTCTAGTGCTTGGGAAGTTGAGTTATAATCCTTACAGCAGCATCTTCCAACCTGAGAGCATCTTCCAACCTTTTACAAAATTGGAGCTCTGCTACAGATACAATCAGTATTTTTCACTTCACATATCAGTGGTTCTAATATTGTGGCTGATCAGTATATATGATAGTACAAATGCTATCATAATGAACCTTTGAACAACCTGAGAAACATTGTAAAGCAAAGACCATTGAATGGAATGATGTATCAACACTGACAGTTTAAATGAGATATGTGGGCAAACTAAGTGAGAAAGTATCAGTTTGTCCCACAACTGTGGTGCCTCCCATTTATTCAACTTGCAAAATACATGTGGGAGGAACACTAAGATCCAAAAATATTCGGACGCTCAGCATTATTTTAAAGCAATCAACTAGAAAGAACCACTTTTTTTTTTCCTTTCCCTTTTTCTCTCCCTTTTACACTTTTCAGTGCTGTGTTATAGGAATTAAACATCAATATTGGTCATAGATAAACATACCAAAAATGACTGAAAGGTCAGCTGTGCTTCCAACTCAGCTAGTTCAAAGTTCACTTTGACTTCACTTTGGGTTATTGCTTTGGTTTATAATCATATTTTAGGAGATCTAGAAGGTCTTAAATCTGATAATTTAGTGGCTTACAGTTTAAACTTTTTTTTTTTTTTTTATAATTGCAGGATTTTAAATTTAATAATTTAATTTCCAAAATGATAGAATACTGTGGGCCTACTGGCCATGTCCCTCTGAAGTATGTTCCTATGCTGGGCAGATATAGTGGAGGAGCACCTATAAATGAAACTATTGAGTTATTTTTGAGGATTTTTGAACATTGGAAAGCTGTCATTTGTTGTTCATACAGGACACTAATGCATATTGTACTTTTTAGCTGATATATGAACTATTTGTATTATCTATCCCAATACCGATGTTTCACTCTTTAAATCAAGTTATGCAAATTCAGCAAGTTCTAGATCATATCTGCCCTACCGTAATGCAGAGACAACTAGAGAACACTCCTAATTTTTCCTTAAACCATAAAGATTGTCTGCAATGTATACTATGAACAGGTTTATCGTCACGCTCTTCACACACCTCATCCCTCACGAAGTTTGCTATAAATATTATGATACAAAAGTCCAAATCTTAACATCAGGACTGCACCATTAGACTCTCCCATATACCTCATTCTTTTAAATAAATTGTTAAAAATCCATCTTGACAACTATTAATTTATCAATTGAAAACTTAATATTTTCTCTTTCCCTTCTCATCTACATACTTCTCAATACCCCACTTCTCTTTATATCTGTTCTACATATATCATAAAGTATTCATATTATTTTTTAAATGTGTATTGATACAAATACATTTTGTAACCAAGTTTTACTTTGGGCACAATAAACATTACATTTTATGGTATTCCAGTTCACTTCTTTTAGCCTTGAAGTTTGTTTGAGATTGGCCCTTTTGTTTCAGTCATGTTGTATAGTGGACTATGTTTGCACTTTATAAATAATAATTAAGGCTCAAAATTCCCAGTCACCCAGTAGCCATGTGTGCAGTTAAAATATATTGTTCCCTTCACTCTGGTAAACTTTCAAATTGTGTTGGCCTAATTTGTCACAAATGTTTAGCTGAAAAGTTATACCCATTTTAAATGTTCTGTCTTCTGTAGCCTTGGCAGTAAAGTTGTAAATATTACCAGTATTACAGCATCCTCAAGGATTCTGCTACTTTGATTATGTACGCAGGTGCAGGCAATCATTAAATGCTGCACAAGTCATTTTGAGCAGATTTGTGTCTTTCATGAAGATCAGGGAGCACTTCAGAGCACATTTCTTTTAAGTATGCTTTACTATGTGTACTTTCAAACAAATATCACTTTCTATGTACCAGAATACAAGTATATACTTATATAAACAGTGACATTACATATAAACAAATGTTCTGTTGTGGATAAAACAAAATAATTTGCTTTAGGCTATATTTTTATAAAAATATAAAAGTAAGAAAATAAAAAATACTAACGTGGTAATTAACATAATTGTATGTTATAATATCCTTTAAAACAAACTATGGTAACTAAATAACATTGAGGAAAAATTATTCAAATTCTTTTGTAAATTGTTTTTTTTTTTGGAGTGGGGGGGGGGGTCAAAATTCCAATTTATCTGAAAATGTTTATTTTTCTTCTTTGTATGTTCCAACAGTGTCTTAAAACTCTGTTATTTTGTATCATTGTCTTTGAGTAATGTACAAGTAATTTGCACATATTCTGCCTCTCCTTCCTTACCAAAATAATGGTGCTGTAAGGAAATGTCAGAAATTTTTTTTTTTTTTTGTTGCAAAAAGATGCATAAAGATAAATAGACAGCATGTGAAACAAAATATAATGTTAAATAAAACAAAAATGATGGAAGAGATGCAAAAGATTCCTTTAATTTTAACAAAAGACTGTGGAAAAGACCATCAGAACTGACACCTCATGCCAGCATATTCAGAGACTTTGATAAATCCCCCCCCCATTGCTTCAATTACACATTACAAAGCAAGTATAACGTTGAGTTATGTCATCATGAAACAAGAAACCTGTTTATGTAATTTACTTTCCGGGTTAGCGCTTTATGTATATCCTTATTTCTCAATGTGTATATCATAGGGGTTAGTAATGGTATAACCAAAAAGTACAAAAAAGACAAACCTTTGGTAACAGCTAGTGAAGTTACCCTCTTTGGCAGCACATAAACACTAACAATTAATCCATAGTTAATGGCAATGACAATGAGGTGAGAGCTGCAAGTAGAGAAAGCTTTCTTTCTCCCGGTGGTTGATGGGATTTTGAGAATTGTATACATTATAAATGTATAAGTTGAAAAAACAAATAGTAAAGGTAACATTGTTATAAAGCTGCTCTGTGCTGCAATGATTATTAGGAGAAGTGTTGTGTCAGAGTAAGAGAGTTCAATCAGTGGGAATAAATCACAATGGAAATGATCAATTATATTTGGATCACAAAATGTTAGATGACTAATGAAGGCAGGCACATTGATTAATGAAGCAAATGAAATTATCCAGAAGCCAATTATGAAACAAAGACAAAACCTGTTGTTGATTACTGAAGAATATTGCAGTGGGTTAGAAATAGCAATATACCTGTCATAGGACATCAGAGAATAATGGTAAGACATTGTGTTTCCTATTGTTCCATACAATTGCAACTGTGTTAAACAACCAATAAATGAAATTGTTGCTCTTTCTGATAAGATGTCGTATAACATTTTTGGAACCATAGTTGTGATGTACATCAATTCACAGCAAGACAGGCTGCAGAGTATGAAATACATAGGGGTTTGCAGATGTGTACTTGTTGTAACTAGCATGATAATAAGAATATTTTCTATGCAAGCTGCTAGATAGAGGGTCAGAAATAGAATAAAAAGTGGAATTTTTAAGCCATCCAGTTTGTTGAATCCAGTGATTAGAAATTCAGAGCCAAATGTGCAGTTGTCTGGAGGAATCATCTTTTCAAAAGAAAAGGAAATAATTAATACAATATTTCCACTGAATAATGTTAGTAGACTATTAATTCATTAGTCTATATATTGATCTACTGTGTGATACTTTATCTGAAAACAACTAAATTTAAAATTAAGTGTGATTACAAATCAGGTAAAGTCCCAAGTAGGGGTCCAAACTTAAAAAGAGATCATAACCCCCTCTCTCTACTCTGTAACATAGTACACATGCTGATTCCATTAAATAAACTATTTCCACCTGGATTTATACCTAGAAACTCTACACAATACAAAGATAAAGATAAAGCTTGATGAATTTCTCTGTTATTGACAGAGTGATAGACTACTCATAAATTCCTAACCCTACCTCCCTCACATCCCTCAACTCCTTCCGAGACCTCCAAATCCACAGTTTTGCTTCTTCAGCACCCATAAAAAAAGCAGGCAGGGACCAAATGTTTCCTTCCAAAGATGCATGTCTACACAAAACAATTAGAAAAGTCCAAATGTAGGATATTTAAGCATCTCTGGTCACGTACTCTACCCAGATTTCACTGCCACGCACTCTAGTTGCATGGGAGATGGATCTAGGTCCCCAGGAGAACCCCACTGACTGGCCAAATGTATGGGAGGCTATTACTTCCCTTCCAATATATACAACATGCTGTTCTGCTGTTATCTCACCCCACAGCATTTGGCACCCACGAAGACTCTTCCTGCAATTGTATGTTGGAAATGGTGTGGGAAGGTGAGCACCTTCCTGCACTGCTGTGGTCACATCCAAAACCTAAACCACTTGGTGCTGCAGTTGTATCTCTACTCACTTAAATCTTAGGTAAACAATAGTTGATGGCTGGGCTCTACTACTATCCAAACCCATAGACACTCTTACCAAAACAGAAAACAGATTGGCATTACAAGCAGCATTGTCTTCTCGCAGATCAATAGGAGAGGTATTATGCCACTTTAGGGATCCCTTCCATCTCTGCTATAGGGAAAAAACCACGAGAAGTAGTAGAACTGGATAAACTTACATCACAACTACACAAAACTCTGAAAATCTTTCACAAAATATGGGACCCTTGGCTTGATGAGAATAACCAATTTTTATGAATGAGGCACAACAGAGATCCTCCCTTATGGGGCAGTTTATGGGTGCACTCCTCTAACACCTCCATGTTTCCCCTATCTACCTCCCCTTTATATTCTTCCTCACTTTCTGTGTTCTATATTGGGGTGTAAGTTTGGTCACTCTGCTCCATTCCACCTTTCTGGCTCCTTTGCTGCCATACAACTTCCAACACTCAAGGCATATTCAGGACTAGCTACTAATGTACAGGATAGACTTGACAAAGGCACGTAAGGGTGCCGAAACATTGTCTGTTTTCTGTGCTCCTTCAGTAAAGACTGCCTAATGAAGAAACCACAGCTGTGTCCAGAAATTCTGTATTTGGAAGACTGCAATAGACAGACACACAATGACTGTGCGTGCACAAAACTGCTAAAAATACAAACAGTTAAGGATTAAATTAATTTGCACTAGTAGAGAGATAGAAGTGAAGAAATGTCAAATAAACCAATCAACAGAATATAGAGAAATTACACTTAAATAACTATACAGTCATGAAAAGGACTATTATTGCAGCACTAGAATAAATCAGTTTAACCCCATAGTGACCAAGGACGTATCTGTCAGGATTACTGTTTAATCCAGCACGTAGAACTGTATAGCACGGATGACAAATAAGTAACATATTACCGGTCCTTAGAATGGCCAGATTTAACGTACATAGAATAGTCAAAAATACTAGCTGAGGTCAGGGAACACAGAAAGGGACGATGAGGAAAGCCAGGAGTCAGGATACCAGAATATAGAGAAGTCAATAAACAAAGCCAAAGTCAAAAACCAGGTAGAAAACTAATAACAGGAACGAACTCTCGGACAACCACAAGGGAAACCACGACAGGGCACTGAGCAGGATGAGAACTGGGCCTAAATACCCCTCCTTTAGTTCTGATAGGCTGTAACCGGCCTTTGACCCCAAAGTCAGTTACCAGGTTTCATAAAGCATAAAGCATAATTGCTGCTCAGCATTAACCCTTCTGTGGATTAGGTTGCTGCTCAGCACAACTTTTCCTGTGTAGACAGTAAATGTTATTAACCACATTTCTATAAGCGGATGAATATGTGACACCAGGTTTCATTTGCGTAATTGCGGCTCAGCATTAACCCTTCTGTGGATTAGGTTGCTGCTCGGCACAACTTTTCCTGTGTGGACAGTAAATGTCATTAACCACATTTCTATAAGCGGATGAATATGTGACAGTATCAGGTACGTCCGACAAAAACTGGCCAATAACGACCTCGGACGTACCTGACACGTCCGCGGCACATTTGAGCACTGGTATAAAGGTATAAATAATATAACATAGTGCAGATTACTGATAATAAACAGAAATTACAATAATATATATGCAGAGAATATATACTGGGATCTATATGGACATTGTTCCTTATTTCATTTGTATGTTTTTATAGCGTATAATAAATTTTTGCTATTTCTTCTACTACGGTTTCCGGTACTATTCACAAAGAAGGGAGTGTAGTCCTCAAATACACAGAGCGTTACCTTGGAGCCATAGATGTTCCATGTTTGTAAGTACCCACTTGGCATTTTCTATCATGATCGCTTCCAGCCGCTCTAAGGGTATTGCAGTGATACCTCACTGCCGGACTGCTGGATAATTGTGACCCCAGAGCGATCACTTACGGGTTCCCCATGTGGTGCCCGGCAGTGAAGCAGAGCATCGGAAGCCATCAGGCAGGCTTCCGAAGCTTTGCGTGTGTGCTGAGTGCCTCGAGGGTTCGAGGCCCTAAGTAAAGATAAAATCAATTAAAAAATGTAAAAAGGTAATGGGTACTAGTGCTTTATATTGAATAGAATTAATTGAAGGAATATTCAGATAAGTGTATTAATAAATAGCAGCTAAATACTAGAGTGTACAACTTTTCCAGAACAACACCAGCAAATAGATAGAAAGATAAATAGTGTAGCGCTTATCAAATTTATCTTAAATGCCCAATCCAGGTATAAAGACTCTAGATACCTAGAGGTATAAATAATATAACATAGTGTAGATTACTGATAATGAACAGAAATTACAATAATATATATGCAGAGAATATATACTGGGATCTATATGGGCATTGTTCCTTATTTCATTTGTATGTTTTTATAGCGTATAATACATTTTTGCTATTTCTTCTACTACGGTTTCCAGTACTATCTACAAAGAAGGGAGTGTAGTCCTCAACTACACAGAGCATTACCTTGGAGCCATAGAGGCTCCATGTTTGTAAGTACCCACTTGGCATTTTCTATTTGTAATAGTGTGGGGTGGCATTCCTTTGGGGGGCCGCACAGCCCTCCATGTGCTCGCCAAAGGTAGCCTGACTGACATTAGGTACTGAGATGAGATCCTCAGACCCCTTGTGAGACCATATGCTGGTGCGGTTGGCCCTGGGTTCCTCCTAATGCAAGACAATGCTAGAGCTCATGTGGCTGGAGTGTGTCAGCAGTTCCTGCAAAACGAAGGCATTGATGCTATGGACTGACCCGCCCGTTCCCCAGACCTGAATCCAATTGAGCACATGTCTTGTCATGTTGCACCACAGACTGTCCAGGAGTTGGCAGATGCTTTAGTCCAGGTCTGGGAGGAGATCCCTCAGGAGACCATCCGCCACCTCATCAGGAACATGCACAGGCATTGTAGGGAGGTCATACAGGCACGTGAAGGCCACACACACTACTGAGCCTCATTTTGACTTGTTTTAAGGACATTATATCAAAGTTGGATCAGCCTGTAGTGTGTTTTTCCACTTTAATTTTGAGTGTGACTCCAAATCCAGACCTCCATGGGTTGAAAAATTTGATTTCCATTTTTGTAATTTTTGTGTGATTTTGTTGTCAGCACATTTAACTATGTAAAGAACAAAGTATTTCAGAAGAATATTTAATTCATTCAGATCTAGGATGTGTTATTTTTGTGTTCCCTTTTTTTTTTGAGCAGTGTATAAAAGCAGTGCACCGTGAGTGCAAGCCTTTTTACATCAGTTTATTTTTGTTGGCTTAACGCACCAGGCTTTCAAATTTACTGGATTGGTCTGAGTACAAGGACCTAGGCAATATATATATATATATATATATAAAGAAATAAAAATAATACGAAATATACATATGTCGATATACATAATTACATAAATAATTTCATAAATATACACATAGACTTCAAATATATAAATATATATTTCTTTAACATCTACATGCATATTTAAGTAATATTTTTACATAATTAAGTATTTTTACTGATTGCAATTTGGGGGACCTGCCTGACAACCCAGGCCAAAAATCCAGAGAATTTAATTTGCTAGCACTGTATTTAACCCTGTAACTTTCCAAGACACCCTAAAACCTGTACATGGGAGGTACAGTTTTACTCAGACGACGTCGGTGACCACAAATATTAGTGTTTCAAAACAGTAAAACATATCACAGTGATGATATTGTCAGTAAATAAAAGAAATACAGTATTTTCCAGTGGGACACTTACATAAAGGAATTAAACAAAAGATTCTCAATACACCTTAGTGAGTGCCCTTCACCCTCACATCAAACAAAGTTTACATACAATATAAGGTGGAGTATCTTCTTGTTAAAATCAATGGTAGGTATATCCTAAAAGTAGAACAAATAATGACACATAATAGTGCAATATTGTCTGAATCACAAATGGAATGAGAAAGAAATGTGTGGTAATACACTCACAAAATAAGAGCCTGTAAATTAAGGCTCAATTTTCCAGCGTTGTGGGATTAAGGATCCCACTTCCTTCTTTATACTGCCAAGGAGTGGTAAGTAATCCAATGTCCTCTCACAGATAGATATAAATAGTAAAGGTGCTTTAATAATAAAGTGCACAAATAAGAATACAT